ATATTGTACTGTACTTTGTTTCATATTTTTGTGGTTAAAAAACACCTGGCTCATAATGTATTAACCTTACTTACCTTGAACCTTATAGGATAATTTGATTCAATTCACTACCGATATAGTTCACAACTAGAATTTTGGAATGAATTTGTGAAGCGAGGTACCACAATGGATGCATACATATGATCATTTTCAATACACTTTCCCTCACCAGCCTCACTCTTTCATGGCTTGCCTTAGTCTCTTCTCCATCTTTAAAATGTCTGTCCTCGCTGTTTATTACTATTTCCCTTTTACTTTACTTTGCATTTATACTGTTTCTTTTAGAGTTCGTCCACAGGTAATGAATCACCACAATTTTTTAAATATATATAATGAAGACTACATACACAATTAAGTCTTTAAATTTGAAATCTCGAAACATAAAAACTGGAGAATTAAATTCTTAAGGCTTGACATAGGTCTTCAATTACTTTAATTTGGGGAAAATATTTTTATTGGTAAAGAATTCTAAACTGAACGTTTTGTGTTCAGAAAAAGAAAACTGGAGGACTATGAAATACATGAAACATACAGAAAATAAATAGAAATATAGTGGAAAGGCATAACATTATCAATCACAATGACCTAGTTTTGTATCAAAATCATTGAATTTGTATTTTGAGGTATGTTTATAAAAACAAAGCAAACTTCACAAGTAATATCACACTTAGTGTTGAACAATGAGAATTTGGGCTTGTAGAAATCACTGTTATACCTCATATCTAGATGTCTCCTCATAGCCTCATGGGCTCATAGGTGGATCACTTCAGAACTGGAGAGATGCAGGCTGTGTGAATGTGGATTAAGAATGTCTGATAACTGAATTGTCCCCTGATAGGTTTAGCAGAGTCCCGGGTATGGATAACGAAAGCCTGCCCTGGGCAGGTGTGGCACTGCCCAATACGCTTGAATGGTATAAAAGGAAAGGGAAGGCTTCCTGCTGCTACATTTTTCTGCCTTCCCTGCCACAGGCTATGTCTCCTCTGCGATGCCCTCCACAATGGTGCCCTGCCTTGGAGCCAGCTGATCATGGACTGAAACCTCTACACACTGTGAGCTAAAATAGACCTTTTCTCTTTTGACTTGTAGATTTGGGGTATTTTATTCCAGAAATGAGAAAATAACTAAGACAATCACATTGTAGAGTGCAAGGAAGAAAAGAAAAATGGGAGTATGCTTGGAAGGGTAACTCTTTAGGATTAACAAAATTATTTCAGTAGAAAATTCTATAGTACAGAAGTAGCTACTGGAATTAATAAGGTAAAGGCTGAGGATATAAGGCCAATATACAAAAACTGGTGGATTTATAAATATAAATCTGTAAAAATTGGATATTAAAATTTAAATCTATATATTTTGACTGACTTAGAATATGAAATGATTAGTTGTGCATTTAGCCTAAAATGTGAAATACCTATATAGCACAGATTGCTAACTTTCCATGGAGAGCACTTATGAAGACCTAGAGATTTGATTATGATTTGAAATGTCTGCTTCATGAGTCACTATGTGCCAAAGTCACTTTTTTTGCAAAACAGAAAAATTAATTTTATTCTGTGTCAATGGGGATATATTGGGTTTAGAAAACTCATAATCTGCTGATACTGCTATAAAATAGTATAATGACTCTGGAAACAATTTGGACTATCTAGAAGTGAATACATAAAAGTGTTCCAGTTATTTATTTTAGCTATTACATTTGTAAGAAAATGTACAGGGATATGCATGTTGGAGAAAGATGTTTACAACAGCTTTGTTTGAAGTAACTAAAATGTAGAAAAATTCAAATGCCTGTTGAATGTATAAACACACAAATGTGATGTACTAATACTATCAATACTTCTCAGTAATATAACAGTATCTATGCATGTAACTTCATGCATTAATCTCTAAATAAATTATTTGGAGAAGTACCTACCCCATCAGCTCATTTGTATAATAAACAACAAATTTCATAGTGACAGAAAGATGGTCAGTGATTGCCTAGGTGGAGTGATAAAAAAAAAAAAAAGGTCAGCAGAGGAATTATGAGAAGACATGAACCTTTTTTGTTTGATAGTCATGCAATATTTTTATTAGCTTTATTAGTTGTACTGGAAATACATATATCAAGTATCAATTATAGATATTAAATATTTGCACTTTATATTTGCATGTTATGTTTTCCTAAAGTTCTAAAAAGAAAGAATGGACAGTGGTAAAGCTAAAATAGAGAATTCTGATTTTCTTCAGTCAGCATTTCCTCTAAACTCTCTTCTACTCTTGATCCTGTGAAGAGCTGTAATGCAGACATCTCAGCAACTGCAAGCAGAAACAACTGGGAGAGATCCACATTTATGTTTCTTACTCACACAGGACATTTGAGATGGATTTAACCTTTCTGAACTTGTTTTTCCAAATTTAATATATGAAAGAACATCCACAATAAAGGACTGTTAAAAACACATAACAGACTATTTTACATAAAGTCTCTGGCTCACAGTAGCCCTACCAAATTTTATTTCAGTTCTGCCCTCTCAGTGTGATAAGCAAATTTAATTATTTGTGGGTGATGCTTTCATTATTTGATTTCCTTCCAAATGTTGTTCCATAATCCAGGAAGAATGCCTGGCCAATTTTAATATGTCTATTTCAGTTACATACCCACATCCAACTAAAATGGAGATTAATGAAAAGCCACCTCCACTCTGTGAGAAAATGCGAGCCCAAGAATGGAAAATTTAGGTTAGTAAAGCAATGCATTTAAATCTGAATCACACTGGACTTTACTCAGTTGAAACTTATTTTAATTATATTGAAAAGAGATTAAAAAAATAAAATCTCTATACCCAGTTTAATCACTTATAGAGTTGGCTTTATTGTTGAGGAGGAAATTAGATTATTTGTCATATGAATAACATTTAAAAATTTGAAGTCTTAACATACTCAAATTATTAAAGAAAAGATTTGAATGCTGCAGAATCATTACTACAAAGAGAAGTCATATGTGTTAGTAAGTAAAATTTAAATGGACGAAATGAAAGTACTTCAAACAGTAACAATTTGAAATACACACATGTAGTTTGAATGCATCCTTCCCAGTTCCACAGCATTTTGTATGGAAATATTAACAAATAGAACATCATTTACCTGGTCATATTAATATGAAATCCTGACTACTTAATTCCCAAAGAAAATGTGTCCTTTTTCATGGATAATTTGCACTCTATTTGATTTACCCAAATAAAGTGCACCATTCAAAATCCAATGGATTACTTTCAACAAAAGACAGTTGTCTAAAGTAGAAATATAAAGTAGTTCTGAGTAATCCTGGACCTTAAAATGCCTAAAACCACATGTATGTGTGTGTAAATTAGGCTATAAAGTGAGTGATATTCCCAAACAAGTTCTGAAATATTTAATGTCCGCTGGTAATAATTTATAAAGTAGGTATGTAGACATTTTCTTGATAGATCTGAGGGGCATGTTAATGGGGTGCAATGAAGACAGATAGCTTCATTCTGGTACCACTGAGCAGACAGCCGCCTCGTGAAACACTTCTTCGCCAAGGCACATCAATCTCCCTGTGATGGCTGTTCAGATTAGACAAGGAGGAACACTCCTGTGAATCTTAAAAGGCCATTTCTGTCTCTTGTGAAGTTGTTTAACTTTGTTTTCATTTTATGGAGCCTGGCTGAGCTCTAACACATGCAGGATTTGACAGATCGATTTTTATAAAACACCTAGGAAAGAGTGGTTTTTATGGAAACATAAATTACAAATTTCACTGAATAAACCAAACTTGGCATTAACTTGAGCTACGATAAGATAGTATTTATTATTTATTACTTCTTTACACATTATTTATAGGAAGATTCACATTTTGTGACATTATTTGATTTGTTACAATTTAGAAGATGATATCCATCACTAGGAAGATAAACTTTGCACAACACCTGTTTAATTATTTGAGGAACCACATGTATATGGATTGTGAACCACTCAAAATTATTAATACTACCTGGGGCGAATGTCAAATAACTGCTTGTGGAGAGTGGATGGAACGATGGCTTGATATATATATAAAGTAACCTCTCAAATGCATTGTTTTCATCTTTGATACTGTACCATTCACAACAGTGACATAACCCAAAATATGTTTCCTGATTTTCAGAAGTGATTTGTTTCTAGAATTTGTAAGCTTGCAGCATCATGAAGTCAAAGAGAACAATATCAGTGCTCAGACTGTGTCTGTGTACCCTCTCTGAAAACAAACGCAATCTATTATTAAAGATACGTGCACAGGATACCAGACAGAGTGCTCAGAAATCATGTAACGTTATTACTTTCAGTACAAAACACACTTGGCCAAGCTGTCAGTATATGTACATTTGAAAAATATATAACCCAATTTATGCATTTCTAGGAGCCTGAAGGCCTTTGTCTCGAATTTCTGAGTCTCATGTAAGGGACGCTCCCATGCTGATTAATGGAGGCTGAGCATGACCTTCTGGAGATGTTCCAGTTCCATAGCTTTATCACCTATCAGTGTCTTGAGTCATTTGTTCAGCTGCTGTCTTCACCACTCTGTTTCTCTATGCATTGACTTCTGTATTTGCTAAGCTAAATTATTCCCAGTCCCTAGCCTATTTAAGGTTTGGAACAGTAAATGCTTAAACCATTTATGTTCACCTACCTCAGGCAAGTATATATTGTGTCTTCCTTTCTAATATCCTGATTTAACACCTAGAATATAAGAGTGACAATAGTCTTGAAATGAAATAAAGCAGTGGGCATGCAGATAGTAAGTATTCTTTACCACCAGCCCTACTATAGCATCTACATTCATTTCTTTTTAAGACCAGATCTTGCTAAATGGTCCTGGATGGCAAGAACATAAGATCTTCTTGCCTCAGCCTCCCAAAGTGCTGAGATTATAGGAATGTGCCACTATACCTGGTTTATCACCTTTTAATTCCTTCATGGCCTACTGTGAGGCCAAAGTAAGTCAGATTTTCTCAACTCCTGTATCCCTCTTCTGGTTACTGACTTGAATATCTGTACCAGTAACTAAACTCACATTAATTTCTGATGAGCAAAAGAACCTGTCAGAAACTTGCCTTTCATAATGGCTCCAACTCTGCCTCTTTACCTTAGAATACTACTTCCAATCAAACTGCAGACTAAAGCACAAATTTCACACAGCTTCCTGACAGCTTCTGTGCAGCACCCAGGACAGCTTTTCTTTATCTGAGAGGATGCTGTTTGAGCTGCAAATGCCAATTAATTTCTTGAAAAGGGCACACTTCTTTCCTCCTGGACAAACATCAACCCTGATGCAAAACTGTTCATGTTTTGATGGAATAGTCCATATGGTCATTTTTATAAGTCTAAGAACATTTTTAAATTTTGTTTTAATTTTTCATCTTACACCTTATTCCTGCAAATTAGCACATTATTTGGCACATAGTGGGCATTTTATAAAACCATAGTGAAACAACGCTTTCACTATGGGGGAACCACAGATGTTCTTTTCTCTACCTGCTCCAATCACTCAAAAGTATTAAGGAGGGTAAACGGAGATGCACTCACATAGCAGGAAAAAACAAAGAATGTTAGAGAATAACATTGGGGTATATATTGCAGGAGTGGAACTCAAACTGAATTTCTAAAAAGTCAATGAACTCTCCACTCTTTTAGAGGGCAGAATCACGGGAGAAAATCCCTATTCATCTGAAAATTTAAAATGATAATAATATCTTATCATTATATAATAACAACAGCACATTATCATAGATAATAACAATCAGAGTCTTATCATTCCTTGAAAATATTAAAGATTTGAGACTGTCAGGCCTGTCACATGTTGGGTGTTTCATTCAGTCTGCTTCTGAAAATTTATAGTTTACAAATACTACATTAAAAAAATCGTAGAACAAAGAAGTCTAATCATCTCACTATATATTGAAAACGTACAAGGAAAAACAACTGATTAAAAAAAGTATGACACCCAGTGACTGTGACACATGATAAAATGTGTAACATTTTATGTATAATATATAATATGTTGTTTCCAAAATATGAGCAGTTATACATAATTATTACCAAGCACATAATATGTAACATAAAGAGAATCCAAGTCGGTTTGTCTTAATAATACTGTGCCTTAAAAACATGGGAATCATTAATCTTATTAATGGGTTTCCCTGTTGCCTACATTTTGAGAGAAAAGAGATTATATCTTCCAAAGGTCTGAAGGAAGAGAGTCTAAAGCATGTACAATTCAAGGGCATACACAAAGAAGAGGCAAGAGGAGATGGTGGATGTGGAAGGTTTTTCTAAACATGAAGTGAACATGTCCCACAAAACCTATGTTTGTGGAGGAGGATTCCCCAAGAGAAGTTGGGCCTTTGGAATTCGGCCACCGCGAACTGCAGACAGCATGGAGACAGAATCACGGTCGATGGAAAATGGGGAGTGGCTTTCTCCACTTCATTAATTGTGGAGGTTGCCATAACAACATCCCACAATTTTTTTTTTTTTTTAAAGCAGGAATTTATTTTCTCACAGTCTGAAACCCATCAAGTCTGGGGAAGTTTCTTCAAATGCCTGCTCCCTTAATTCCAGCAGCCCTCTCCTCAACTTTTCTCTAGGCAGCCACATCATGATATGTCCACCTGCCTCTCTTAATTACTTGCCCTATAAAGACAGCTGATTATATTGTATTAAGTTTCACACTAATGGCTTCATTTTAGTTTAACTCTTTTACAGATTCTTGCCTGTTTATTTTATTTATTTAAATTATATACATCTGTGGTGTACAATGGGATAAATTTATATATATATATATGAAATATGTATGGATCAAATCAGGGAACTTTTTCCTGTTCAATATTATTTATTTTAGCTTTTTACTCTCACATTTTTTGGTATATAGTCTTTACATTCACTTTAGGGAATAGGTACATACATTAAACATATCTTGATTCTTTTTAATCCTTTTTCCACTCCACCTACCTTCCTCTTTCTCTCTAGATCCCCTCTCTCCATTTTTGTTCCTATTACTCCTATTATTTATTATTATTATCATTATTCTTGCAATTGTTGCTCCATGTTTTTGACACACACAGTTAGCATTCATTGTGGGTGTATGTATATGATGCATCTTAAACCTTTTCATGCACCCCTTGATCCTTTGGTCTGCAACCAGGTACAAAAGATCTACCTCTCTGTACTCTTTCATTAAACTTTTATCTTGCTCTTCATATTTATTTTGAATTATTCAGTGTGAGAAACCATCTGGTATTTTTGGTAGGGTTTGATTGCCTCCATGATATCCTCCAGTTTGTGCTACTCCCTCTTGAACGAAACCACCAAGAGTCCAAACAGTACAAAAGTCATTCATAGCCCCTTGGATAACCTCTTGGAAGCCAGCAGGGGCATGTGGAGAGAGGAACTGGAAATAACTAGCAAACCTGGGTCCTAACTTCGGCACTTGTATTCATAAAATATAAAAGTTAAGAATTCATGGTTATCTCTTCCTAAGGAGTAAGAACTATATAATGTGGTAAGCAAAAGGCAAAAGATTTATGCGATCTGAAGAGAAATCAGAGTAGCATATGGTAAGTAAAATAATGTCGAATTTTCTGCACCCGCCCCCCAGTGTCTCCCGGCAGTGGTGGACGATCTCTGAGACTAGCAGTAGGAGAATCAGTGGGCAAGAGCAGCTAGCAGTCCAGAATCATCAGGTGGTGAAGGAGGGGAGACGAAAATGATACTGCAGAAGACAGCTGCAGTTCCTGCATCATCAAAAAACCCCGAAGAGCAGAAAGAATGTTTCCTGATACAACCAGAGGAAACAAAAGAAGATGCCGCCAAGACCAGGAAGAGAAAAAAGAAGAAAATTACTGATGTCCTTGAAAAATCAGAGCCCAAACCAGGGACACCTGAAGATCTGCCGAAGCCAGTGAATGACTGTTATAGCAGCAATCACTCAGTGACTGCATTAGAAGAACTGAATCTACCAGATTCCTGTTTCCCCAAGGCCAATGACTTGACTCACAGTTTTTCATCGTACCTAAAAGAAATTTGTCCTAAGTGGGTAAAACATCGGAAAAACCAGAGTAAGAAGTCGGTCCTGATGCTGATCAATTGCAGCTCTGCCATCCTAGCTGTGGAGCTCATTAGGTGGATGACAGCATTCAGAAGAGTCAGCAAAGTCATAAAATTGTTTGCAAAGCATATAAAGGTCCAGGAGGTGGTAAAGTTGTTGGAGAAGCGTGTGGTGTAGGAACTCCATGGAGAATTAAAGAACTCATCAAACAAGGTGGCCTCAATCTGAACTCCCTAAAGTTTCTGTTTTTTGTCTGGAACTGGAGAGATCAGAAGTTGAGGAGAATGATGGACATTCCCGAGATAAGAAAGGAGGTTTTCGAGCTTTTAGAATTTCGAACTCAACCTATACCAGTCAGAATTCTCAAAGCTGGGCCTTTTCTAATCCTAGATCCTACTGAGCATTCCAGTTTTCACTGTGGAATTTTATCTTATTTAATGATGTGGGTGCTTTACAAATATTCAGCAAATCTACAATTATTTTTTGTTATGTTAACTGCATCTCCAGATGCATTGCTGGGAAGGTTGGTCAGGAGTCTCTGTAATAGATGAACCTGTACTTTTGCCTACTCCCTTATTTAATGAAGAATCTCCAGCGTGTGTGTGAAAACAAATGTCAAATTTTAATCATATATATAATTAAAATAAAATATTTTGGACAAGATATTTCTCAGTAGTTACATATAATAAATTACTTTTATGTCAAATAATAAGAACTAAACTTTCTTTAAAACTTTACTTCCATAATGAAATATATCATTCTTTTATATATTGAATGAATATTGACTTTTCTCAAAGGATTCCTTTGCATTATAGATACAGATATGTATCATTTTCTTAAAGCTGTAGTGGTAATTGATCTGTGTTATCTTTATTAATATCTTTTCTTTTATTTAATTACTATTACACTGCTATTATTAAACTATTATTATTATATTATCCTTATTATTATTACATTAATAAAACTTTGTTGTGTCTAAAAGTGATCACGAGTGCAGGAATTCTTACTATCCTTCTTATGATTGCTATAGAATTAACATTGCATTAAAAATGCTTAGCCTTGAAGTGAATTAGTATAGACTTAATTTTCCATATTTAATTATCATGCCAAAAATGTCTACAAAGACACAGTATGTACAAGAATATTACATAAATTTGCATAAAAGTTTTGTTTTTTTTAACTTGCCAAGTTCTAAAATTTTATATTCCAAAAATATGGATACCAAGTGCCATATGAAAACATAATAATAAAAGAAAACCTCTGTGACTGCTACATTTTAAAATATTATTAATGATCATATTTTATTTTGGTTAATCTAATTCTAATGTTAGACTATTAGATTTTAATTGATATTACAAAAGGAATCCTGTGTGCAACTTGAAAGGGCAAATTATTAACTACTTGGTGAACACAGAATCACTCATAGGCATATATAATTTATTCCATCAAAGCAGCCCTAAATATTTCTATTGGGCTTGTAGTTAGCCAAAGGTTAAGCTAAATAATATTTGTTAGGCTGCCTGGCTATTGTCCCGTATGTAATCAAAATTGAAGAATTAAAACAAATGGGCTTGTAATTTTAAGTTTTCTGTTCAGGCTATGATGGAGAATATTCTGATTCAAGACATGAGTATATAAAACTTTAGGTATACAATACTTACAGACATCATCTTCGATGTTGCCACTCTTGGGACTGACACAATATAAAAGAATGATTAACTCTGAGATTCTACTTTAGATCTATATTTAATTTCTCCATTTGTATATACTACTTTTGAGACCTCAGAGGAGAAATCTAATATTTTGAAGAGTCAGTTTTTGCATCAGTAAATTGTAATACATTCTAGCTTGCTGTTTTGAGAATAAAACAAATGTAAAACTTCTATAAATTTCTTAGCCCAGATTGTTATTGTAAAAGCAGTAATAAATACATTTTATTAGCAGTAGTATTTCAACCCCTTTTCCTTAGTCTGTTCTTTATATGATTCTTTTTATTATGACCATTATTTGGTTTCTATCACAGTGTTTGTCAAACTTTGTGATGAATGTCATTTTTTAAAGTAACCAATATTCTTGTGATATACCAGGAGCTAAACTAAACTAAATTACACTAAGCTTCACTACAATGTACTATACTTGTTTCTAAATAGTGACTTTCAATTTTAGTAGATTACTGCTGACTCTCCATAGTTTGCAGGTAATGCTCTGTGAAACATAATTTATTAGCCTGTGGTATATAATTCTACCTTGTATATTCCATAAATTGATTACAGCCTTTTAAATAAAGTTAAACATCATTCTCTTTTGTCTACCAGGGTATTAAATTCTAATTTCATATGTGTGAATTGTGAAGTGGGGTTTTTATTTTTATATTTTGGATGAGTTCATGGAGAATCACTGGTAATTTTTTTATTAAAAATAATTAACATACTGGAATCATGTGTACTGATACACATTTGCAAGACAAGCACTCAGGGACACTGAGGTAGTAGGGCTCCAAATTGGAACCCAGCCTGGCCAGTTTAACCACTTAGATGTACCTTATCTCAAAATGTAAATAACTAATAAGGACCTGGGAATATGCAGTAATAAATAAAATATTTAAGAATACTGGAATAGTTTTACAAGTACTGTGGTATTTGCATCGGCATTTTTTTTTTGAAGGAGCATGGTAATTTTTCCTTCTGACTGGTAATCATCATTTAACTTGTATTTTTTTAAGTTTCCATCAAGGCAGTAGTAATGTTCTCTTAGTCTTGATGTCAACAATTAGGGTCTCCTCTGTTTATTTTTGGTTAGTCCAGCTAAATATTTGTCAAAATTTACTCTTTGAAAGGAAGTAATTTTTGGTTTCAATTTTCTCCATTGTGTTTTTATTTACTATTTCACTATTTCCATATCAATAGCTACCATTTTTTTTCTCTCTCTGTGTTAGCTTTCTAACACATCTCCTCTTTGTTTATAGATACCCAACCACTTTCTGTGTATTAAATGGGCTTTCCTATGTAACTAACTTTATACAAAGTTCCTCTTAAAAGGACATCAGTCATACTAATCAACTCATTTCATGTTATTTTAAAGACTATAAATGCAGTATTATTTGGAAATTGATGACCCAAACATGTGAATTTTGTGGAATACAAAATTTAAAGCCATGATAACTTGAAACTTTTCTGTTTAATATAGGCACTTGCAGATACATATTTCACTCTAAGTGCTGATTTAGGTGACTTTTTTCATGTTCTATCTAATTTTCATTTATCTCAGTGTTTCCCAGTTACTTGTATGCTTTCTCCTTTGATTAAATAATTTGTTTATTTTTATGTATTTGGAAATATATTTTTCTGTAATTTATTTATAACTGCATTTTGTTGTTTTTAAATAACATACTTGGTATGATTTACTTTTTTCAAATTTACAGTGGCTTGTTTTATTTTATTCTAATTAATTAATTAATCAATTTCTGTAAAATACGGTCTTACCATGCAGCTCAGGCTGGCCTTGGACCTGCAGTGATCCTTCTGCCTCAACTTCCTGAGTCCTGGGATTACAGGTATGCACCACCCCACATGGCCAACAGAGGCTTGTTTTAGAGTCTACCTATGGTCTCTCATCGAGAATGTTCCATGTGCTTCTCTATATAATATTGTTAGTTGCCTGCTGTGGTTGTTCAAGTCTTCTACCTCCTGTTTATCTACACAAACACATCACATTGTAGAAGTCTTCAACCACTATTTGTAATTTTCTCTATCTTCCTTAAGCCTTATTTACTTTTGCTTCATATATTCTGGGATGTTTTTATTAGATACATATATGATTTTAATGCTTATACATCGTAATTTTCCCTTTTATTAGATCATGCCCATTTTATCCCTGGTAACACATTTTATTTAGATTCTGTTTTCATATAAATTATAATACTTCAATAGCCTTTTCAATTCTGATAATTACTATTTCCAGGATTTATGTTTTTCCTTTATCCTATTTTGTATTCTTGTACCTTAAACTTGTACCCTGTAAACAACGTATAATAGACTCTTCCAGCTTAGCAATTTCTGCATCTACACTTACCTTACTAGTTATACATTAATGCAATTATTCTTACAACTGTATTTACATCTGCTGTTTAAGTTTTTCTGTATGACATTTCTTTGCTACTATTTCCCTATTCCTCATCAGTACTTTCCTTCACAAAAAATTATTTTCTGTGTAGTATTTTTATTCCTTCTCCATTATATTTTCTGCATTCTTTTGTTATTGGCAAAAGGAAGCTAATAGAGTATCATTTCCTCGCCTTTAGCAACGATACAACGATCACCCTATAACAAAGATAAGACTGATTCAAGGAAAACATAACAAATTTATTGTTCCAGAATTTTACATAGTATTAGAGGCTTCAGAAAAATGTCCCAATTGTTGCAAACTTGTTTATCTCAAGTTGGATGAAGAATGGACTGTGCATGGGTGTGTGGATTGGACAAATTCTTTCTCGTGCACCTCTGGGTCTTTAACTCTTCAAGATATATGGCAAGATACATGTTCTTATCTAAAAATCTTCAGAGGTAAAAATTAGGATAAATTATTTATATGACTCTAGGGATAAAAGAAAAAGAAAGTGAGAGATTGATCTTTCTAAATTTGCCATAGTTTGGAAAACATATTCTTATTCCTACACAGGCTTATCTAGAGTTTATTATTCTCATCTTGACTTATGATAATATATTTTACATTTTCACTCGCATAACTTTAGGGAATGTAGAAGCCTTACCCCTATTTACATCTAATTCTTCTTTGTTATTCTAATAATATAATTACTATTCATATTTCACACTTGTATGTCACAAGACCAACAATATATAGATACAAATAGTAGCTTAAATGTGTTTTAAATAAATAGGAGCACATACATATATTTATTGAGATTTCTATATTCACATTCTTATTTGAAATTTTTAGTTCTCTCCACTTGTACCTTTGTCATTTTTGGAAATGAGTAGTTTTTATGAGAATTCTTTTTTCATCTCTATATTAATTTATGTACATTTTACTCTGCTCTACCATTCATAGATTTTGGGATGCACTATTTGTAGGCTGTTTTATCTGTTTTAAGAAATATCTTGTTATATAAGCCACACAAATTCTGACCTCAAGTTTGGTGTGTTGAAGGGATGAATATTAGCTAGAAGTAAAAACAGGGATTTGATAAGAGGATATATTAGATCACAAAAGCCGGCTAAATCAAATCCCAATAAACGTCCTCCTCTAAGAGTATAACTAGCAAGAAACACTTAAAAATTCTATTTACCTGCTCTCAGTTGTTCTAATATTTGTTTCATACTCTAGATTCATTTGCAATTCTATCCTAATGATCACATTTTATACTA